AAAAAAACTGGATGCCGGCCATGAAAGTCTATGACTTCACAATAATTGGTATGTTTATTTACAACTGAAAGATAGGTTTAACATAGATAGAAGGAAGGAAAGGTTTGAAGAATGTAAAACAGAACTGGATAGTATAATAACTAACAAGGAAGGTCATCATGTATCTAAATATTATAAACTATTTAAGGAAAGAAATTTGGAGAAGGAAACAATAAAACATGTAATGATCCAATGGGCTAAAGATCTAGGAGAAAATATTCAGATTGAACATTGGGGAAAAGCATGGAAGTCAACTAATAAATTTACTTTATGTCAAGATCCAAAAGAAAATTTCTTAAAAATGATGCACCATTGGTATTTATATCCAACTAAAATAAATAAGATGTATAAGACGGGAACTTCAAAATGTTGGAAATGTCAAAAATGTAAGGGAACATTTCATCATATGTAGTGGAAATGTAAGATTGCAAAAAAGTATTGATCTAGAATTCATTAAAAAATGACAGAAATATTACAAGTTGAAATACCATGGAATTCAAAATTCTTTCTATTAAATATGATGCATGATATGGATAAAGCAACAGAAAAACATTTGGAAAGATATTGTTATATATGGGATCAATAATGAGGATAGTGTTCGCAAAATATTGGAAAAAAGAGAAGTGCCAAATGTCGAAGAGTGGCTCTCTAGAATAAAGGATATGATAAATATGGATATTTTGACAGCTTGAATTCAGAACAAACTAATAGATAGAATAGAAAAGCAATGGGATCCGGTAGAGAATTATGGGATAAAGTAAAAACAAAAGCAAATACCTAGAAGTAAAGAAATAGATGAAGATTCTTTCAGTTTATAAAAGAATAAAGAGAAAGGAATATATTAAAGAAGTATAATTTAACTCATAAATGATTATGGAAATATTTAAGTAAGTTAAGTGTTATGGACGATATACTCGGTTATTCTTAAAAATTAGTTTTAGGGTGGTGGTAATCAAAAAACAGGTGAACTTAAAGAGAGATAAATGTTGGAGAGCTAAGATGTATGAAAGATATTTTAGACCTAATGGATATTTCAGACAGAAAGAAACATCAAATCTATGTGTAAGTAAGATGAAGTCATTTGGGAAACTAAAATATTGATAAATTTTTCATTTATTATTGAGATAAGACATGCAATTTGTTTAGTGTTAAATGTGTGCTTGTATATTTATGTTAGATGTGTAAACCGTTGTGTGTTTTTGTTAAGTACATATATGTGTGTTTAAGTGTGCATGTAATTTACTTGTGTTTTTATACAATAACATTTATTTAATTTTTTTAAAAAAAGATACTGGCAATGAACAGGAAATAAGTAAACACGCAAGATATCAGGAACTTCAGAAAAACAGAACCAAGGGACTATTTGAAATTTTGGTGCTACATACTTCAGATATATGAATCTAAACAAAGTTGTACTCTGCACTGCCAGGGGGTCCATTGGCTGAAAATCTGGAAAGTACCAAGAAATGGAGCACAGGGACAAATGGGAGTCAGTCCAGAGGAGATACACACAAATAACTGCAGAAGAGGAAAGGTGGAAAGGTGTTGTCTGCTGGCTGACAATAATCATTCTCTGTTAAGCAACTGTATGAAGAGTACATCGTTGCAAGTGATGCTAGCCAAATATTTTAATTAGTTCAGAAAGAGTCTGGTCTTTGGTGGGGGGTATTTATTCCAGTTGCCCAGGTAACATAATTTAAGCACTGTTCAGCAGAAATTAGCTTGGATCTTAACACTGGCCTGACAAACCACATTCATTTAATACCACAGTAAAGCTTGCAGGGAGTGTGATGTGAGAGAATACCATGCAGACAAAATACAATGAACACATGAGTTCAAACGTTTTCAGATATTTTCAAAAGATATGAC